ATTATGCAGCTGATATTGTCAGAGGATTATTTTAAAACTAATTGTTTTGACTATCTTTTTGTACATTTTTGGGCTCTTCCTAGCTAATTGGATTTTGTCCTCTATAATTGTGTTTTGAAAATTTTAAAACGATTAATTGAAACTGTAAGTGGAGCTGCCAATGTGGCAGCCTGCCCAACTTGATAATGAATTATGTCCAGAAGCTTGTGAAAGAGAGGAGTTTCGCTGGAACCTCCTGGAAAATTGAATCCTCCAATGGTATATAAAAACATTGTCCTTAGAATCTAGAGCAATAAAACTTTTTAAGATATAAAATCAGAACATTTAAACATTCAAAATATACTAAATGCACTCTTTGTATCCCTTGGGTTTTGCTCGAATGTGGTAAGTGTAAAGCACTGAAATGGATTTATGCTAGACGCTTATTTTATAATTTATGTGCGAAATGTTAATATGAACATCAGAGAAATTTTCATTGGAGCCTAGCCCTGTTCAAAACATATACCAATTATTTGAGAATAGAGAACAAGCTTATCAGGCTGTTAATGCTAATAAAATTTGTACATATGTTATTCTTTTGGCTTATTGTAAAAGATCGCTCATAATTATTTTTGAGAGTGACAAAAATGTTTTTGTGTCTTATTCTTATTTTGTTTTAATATTAAGTGGTATGCAAAGAATGAATAATCTTTTTGTATGCCTTTAAAGTTTGCCAAGAACGGTGGTAAGTCCGTCACCACCAGGAGAGATTTCTGACTAAAATTTATAAAGGGTGTTAAAGGGGAATTGACAGAAATCATTCTATAATTAGGGAAGCTTTTGGGAAAATAGATAGGATATAAATTTTAAGAGTAATAGGGGTATATAACATAACAAAACAGAGGATGTGTAACCTGCTTAAAGATGAACAAAGCCCATTTCCAAGAACATCCCTTCGGGGTGGGGGGGCAGACCTCTAGCTTACCGGCTATTTTTACACATTTAGATTGATTTAACTAAACTGGCTAAAGTAGGGAGACATCGATACCTGCTAGTCCTGGTTTGTGGAAGCCTTTCCAACTACCAGGACAACCGCACAAACAATGGTTAAAATTTTGCTTGAAAATATTATACCAAGATATAGGGTTACGATTCAGGAGGTAATGAAAATATCATCATACTCCATGACACCCTCAAAGCTCAGAAAAAGTTAAAAGGATAAATGGGGTCATGGGTCAAGTGTTTACCATTGACACTATTAAACATTAGAACTAAGCCTAGGGTGGATGTGGGGGTCTCCTTCTTCAAAATGTTGTACGGGATCCCTTACCACTTAAATACACTCCAATATCACCCCAGCTTCAGGGACCAGCAGATTAACACATATTTGACCACCCTAATGCAATACAGAGAAGAACTGTGGAAAAAAGCATGATAGCCCAAAGACCACCACAGAAACTTCGCTTGCACTAGATCCAGCCGGGTGATTGGATATTAATTAAACCATGGAAAACGACTTCATTAACCCCACAGCAGAGGGTGGAGATGTAAAATTTGTCAGGATAGACGGAGGAATCAGCCACAAGAGAAAAAGGGGGGAGTCAAGTTCTTGGCAAAATCATAGATGGTGCCCCTGTAATCCGATCCCTCGTACCCTTTGGTAATGAGCTCTCTCTCTGAAACAGCATAACAGTGATAGGTTAGACCCTCCTGAAGAAATACCCCTGCTGCCGAGAAGACTATACCTCTCTCGTAGCTCGAGGCAGCTGAGTTGACGAGCAAAGGCAGAGTGGCGAGTACCTGTGGAGGACTGGATTCTAACCTAGCAAAGAAAAATACCACAAAACAAGAGCTCCTAAAAAGAAAAGGGGAACAGTCACTAAATTGGGGAATTAATTGGCAAATATTTCAATTCAGAGGCAATATCTACCTATCTACCGTCTGACCTGGCAGGTTCTGGTTTTTCTCTTCTAAATGTTGTAACCTGGGTGGATAGGTTCTGCCAGAGTTTTATATTGGGGAAGGGGATATCGCTGTGTCTCTACCCCTACAGGAGCTGTATAACTACCTGCGAAGTGGACCAAGCCTGCTTTCAATGCAACGGCTGGTGGACAATCTGACAGACAAAGACAAAAAGCGACTAAGAGGAGAAGCTGCCCCTGATCCTTCGGCCACTACTGATACAACTGAAGGGACACTCGAAAGCGGTTGACAGGGCCGTGACACGCCGCCAAACGGCTAAGGAACTAATTGACACTGCTGAATCATTATCGCCTTTTTACATAAGGGGACCAGCGGGGAAAAACTGCCTTGAGTGTTATAGCCCATATTGTGCCGCTTGGGTAGCACTGTATTGTGGGGGTTGTGGTAAAACCTTTTGGGTGGAGCAGTCTTTGCTCTGGCACTTATGGTGCAACACATGCCAGCACAAGCACATATTTGATAGCTGGCAGAAGGACCTGAGGAGGCAGACAGGGCAGGATGCAGCTTCGGCTTTAGATCTTTACGAGTCTCCTGAACAGAAGATTTTGGCTTACTATCAGTGGGAGATGAAGCATATTATAAAAAGGGTTAAAGCTCAAAGTAGGTCTTATATAGCTTCCGTAAGGTGTAGGAGATTGGTGCCCTTAACACAGCGTCTATCGTAGGGTCCGTTAAATAAGATCCTGATAAAGCATTAGATCAATGTATAAAAGAATTACAGGAGTTTAGACTACAACAGCCAGGAGTAAAGCTAAAGGTTGATAGAAAAAGGAAGGAAAAGAAAAAGGGAAAAGAAAAATAAAACTTATTTTTATTGTATTACTTAGCGCTGTAACAGCTGGTATAACAGGAATAACACGCTTTAACCAGTCAAAAAGAAAATATATGGGTAACGTTTGCTAATCAAAGTAAACAATCATCATTTTGCCTGAGTTTAGGAAGTATTATTAGCCCTTTTTGGACATGCTTGGTGGGCTTGCCTGTACCTTTGTGACATATGTTATAAGAATATTGGATGTGATTTTTACTGCTTTTGTTTATTTTGCCTTGCGTTTTAATTGTATTTAGAACAGGGACAGTCGAATGATAGAGGAACCTTGGCATACTTATCTTTTGCTACTAGGAACCAAATACAACCAACTCCCAGAGGAAGATGGAGCAGTAGATACAGTACTCGGGCTCACTTTTGGGCCATGCATTTTAGAGATTAATTGCCATAGTAAAGAGACGCTTAGAAGCTGCACATTTGATGCTGTTAAGGAGCTAGTAAAAAAAGAACTGAAACGATTTGATGAACGAAATGGATAAAAGAAAAAGGGGGGATTGTTAAGTTTGTTCATCAAAGCTGACAAAGTTATTCCAGTAAGACTGTTGCACCACATCCATTTGTTTGCCTAATTTCCAGACTTAAAAAGATAATGAAGGTGAAACCAAAGACAATGGGGTTTCACAACATTTGTTTATCTGCTTAGTAAACATGGGTGGTGGGCTTGCACAGTATTAGCTTATCTGCTCAGTAAACTTAAGATTCCAGGAACTCAGTAGATTGATCTTAAAATTCCAGGAATCAGACAAACCTACCACATAAGGAAAAATACCGGCCTTCATCTTCAGACCACCGGGAGGCGGACTACGACCACCTAGCAACAGGAGGAGCATATGCAGAGTACTACCTTGAAGACACGTGAACCAAAAACAGGACTATATATAAACCCCGCAAAACACCAGAAGGGGGTGGGCCGTTGGTGGAGCGGTGACTCCGCCGCCACGCCCAGTGCTCCCGGGTGGGTGCGAGCCTTTTGTCGGTTTCACCCAGTGCTGACTTTGCCTATTATTGCTCTTGCTCTAGCAATTAATAAATTACATTTTATTTGGACTTACTAGTCGGTGATTGATTCCCCACCACAACCTATAATACCAGGATCTTGTGAGAGCTGGATCTCCTCACAGTGGCTCAGTGGCTTTTTGTAACCCTGTCTGTTCTGCCTTCTGCTGCCTGTGCTTGGTTTGCTCCCTGCTTGCCCAAGGGAGCTGCAGTGCAGAAGGAATCTCATGGCCAGGTGTCCCCCCAGCCCTGACCCCTCTCTTTGTCTTGCAGTCCTTTCTCTGTGGTGCCGACGTCAGGAATTCTGGGCGCTGGTGACGCCATGCGGGTGACACTGACATTTC